TCTCTCTCTCTCTCTCTCTCTCTCTCTCTCTCTCTCTCTCTCTCTCTCTCTCGCACGCTCGTACGTGCTCGCACACTTTAACAGATCTTGCACGCATGCTCTCTTGTTTCAGCGCCGCGCGCCGTGAGGGCGCTGCGTGGCTGTCCATCCGTCCGCCGCGTCGTCTACGTGTCCTGTCACCCGGAGGGCGGCGCAGCGCGCGACATCGTCAACCTCTGTCACCCGCGTCCACGCGACGACCGGCTCACCGGCGCCCCCTTCAGGATGAGAAGAGCGGTGCCCGTCGACATGTTTCCGCACACGCTGCACTGCGAGCTGGTGCTGGAGTTAGAGAGGTAGTCGTGGGCTAGCTAGATGGAGAGGTAGCCGTGGGCTAGCTAGATGGATAGGTAGCCGTGGGCTAGCTAGATGGAGAGGTAGCCGTGGGATAGCTATATGGAGAGGTAGCCGTGGGCTAGCTAGATGGAGAGGTAGCCGTGGGCTAGCTAGATGGAGAGGTAAGCGTGCAAGGAATTTTGTTTATAGTTTGATCGATAATGTTTTAGAATTCGTTTTAGAAATTTTATTTCCGAATAAAAATGAAATATACGTGCATCGATCGTGAATGTTTAGCTGCATTGTATTGCTGATGCATAAGTCCCCAGCCTCTTATCTAGGTCCTCAGCCTCACCTGAGTCCCCAGCCTCTTATCTAGGTCCTCAGCCTCACCTGAGTCCCCAGCCTCACCTGAGTCCCCAGCCTCTTATCTAGGTCCTCAGCCTCACCTGAGTCCCCAGCCTCACCTGAGTCCCCAGCCTCACCTGAGTCCCCAGCCTCACCTGAGTCCCCAGCCTCTTATCTAGGTCCTCAGCCTCACCTGAGTCCTCAGCCTCACTTGAGTCCCCAGCCTCTTATCTAAGTCCTCAGCCTCACCTGAGTCCCAGAATCCCTACTCCCCAAAGGGCCCTCCCCCCTCGAGGGGTGGTTGGTCATACAGAGTGAAATTCGGGGAGGGGGAGGGGGACGCGCACAGTATAGTGTGTCCGAGGTTACCCATGATTGTCTGTCCTTCTCATGCTGGTGATGAGACGAGATGACGGGAGTGAGATGATTACGAACATAGATCGTTAATTACTCGTCTCCAGCTTCCTCCCTCCCGCTGACTGTAAACCTTCCCAGCAGATGGCAGCACGTCTCTCACCACTCTTCGCTCCAGACTTCTCCCGCTATTCCTCTAGAATCATCAGAGCATTTTTGTTGAGGAATCGAGATACCGTGGAGAGAGGTTTCGATTTCAATCGGTGACGACGTTTAACGAATTTGTAACACTCCTTCCTACTATATAAATGTAAGGCAGAACATTGTTATATGTGCGCAGACAGCGAGCGTACAGTTCACATGCAGGGTCTGCGATGATGTAGAAATGTAAGTAGTATCTACATTACCATATGCTAATTAAGACGTGACGTCACACGTGTATGTCAAGTTTTGTTATTCAGCCGGTAGGTGGTGCTCCGAAACAATGAATTATTATAATCGTTATGGCATCATGATAACATTATAATTCGTTATTAATCGTGAACTATAATGATTCGAAAGTCATACGCGCGGATCATATTTCTAGCTGAATTACTCGTTTGTATACGATTTCTTCCAATTTGCATGCTGAAGGAACTTGCCAGCGCGCGATTGCATACCCGTACGGGGGAAACGAGAACCAATGTTGGATTGCTAGCTAGGTTCCACTGCGCGGCGGAGACTGCTGTTTACCAATGGTATTATACATCCCCACCCATGACAAAAGTTCCTCCATCCACATCGACGCATGAGCATAAGGCATGTCTTAGCGGGTGAGCCGCACTTGGCTGCATGCGCACACAAGAATTTGACCCTCAATGCCTCATGGTAATAAAGGGAGACGGGGAACAGGTTTGCCTATCGGAAAGGTAGGCACAGTGTATAGCATGTACAGCTGCCATAGAATCAGCATCGCTCGTTAGCTAGCACTTGTCACGCCGACTGGTGGATATCACTTCGCTATAGAGATGTATCCAGCTGATGTGAATAATTGGTAGCTGTATTTAGAGCCTTCGCCGTGTACGCTGGTTGTAGAAACAGCCGTTTTTTTTTTTTACCGAAAGCCTCGCTGGTTCGCCTCAAAAATCGTCCAAAGCTTTACCGCCTACACAAATTAGTTGTACCGTTAGCAGCCGTTTTTTAGCAACGGCCCCTACCACAACGCTGATTGGCTAAGTAGAACGCTTCCAGTGAATCTCATGAATGAAGCGAGATAGAGCTCAAACTTGTTTAAAAATACACGGACGAGTGTAGCTTGCACCAACTCACCCTCAAGGCCACATGGAAGGGGCGGGATGTGGATCGTAGCTCTCGTCGGATAGCCCTACAGTACCTGCTACCTTTACGACAACCATATCAACGTCATGCGAAATATAACTAAGAAGGCGACAGTATGAGTAGAAGTTTAGCATTCAGAGAGGTGCGCTTTGGTGTATGGGTAACCCATGAGTTATGGTTCGTTGTAACGGTGGCTGTTGGAATGTCTGGTGTGTAAAGCAACCGAAAGACCGCATTTTTTTTAAACACCATTAGTTTCAGGGTTCTTCTATGTATTGTGTTGACTCGGAACATTATCAACTATAAAACTGTGTCCTGCTTACTCTCATTCCCCATCCTCTTTCACCTTCGGCTCGTTCAGTGTGTTTGCGGCTATGTTGTGTCCTCATTCTATACCGGCCTACACACTCGTCCTATCTCTCTGCTTTCTCTCACGTGTAGCGCGACGAAGCTATACAATTAAAAACGCTCAATGCCACGCGTGACACGCACAAGCATGAGACAAGCACAACACACACTATCCTTATTCGGGTTTATTAAATGTTTCGAGAGGCTTTAGTGTGAATAGAATTCTTATGGTGTTGATTAAGTGTTATTTGAGAGACTGTCTGTTCACAACAAACGCACCGTAACCGCTAGTGCAGCGGGCATCATCTACTCACCAACGCCCAAGTCGCGGTATCACGCATACTTGTAGATGGCTAAAAATCACTTGCACGGGGCCCGCACAACCGAGGAAGGCAGCGAGACCACAGAGGAGGAGGAAGAGAGAGACGAGCACCGCCACAGCAGAGGAACCTGACCGATGATGAGAGAGAGGGAGATATAAGCCAAAGACCGTATACGAGGTTAGTACGACACACATTAGTAACATGAATTAATGATCGGCTATGCTATCATTTGTCTACGACCATTAGACCAGCTGCAGGCCATGGCGTCGTGCTGTCGCGAGATCATACGGGCCCACCAAGCCGACTGCACCGCACGCCCACAGACAGGACGAGAGGGAGAGAGAGCCTCAGACAGCCGTGCCGCCGCTTAAATTGGAGGAGAGAACAGAAGCAGAGGAACGACCATATATATTTAAATGGATAAATTACTGCCCCGCATGAGACGAGAAAAGGAGTATGAGAGAGAGAGAGACAGAACAGACAGAAGAGAGAGAGAGAGAGAGAGAGAAGAGGGGAGAGAATCCCTACGCCGTAGCTCGCCCGACAAGATAACCTATGTTCCATCACACATTTATCCCACCTGTATGTCAGTTATTTCAGTAAGAAGTGCAGTCAGCTATTCAGACAAATAAACGCACATCTGTATATACGGCATGTGGCACATACATGCAGCGTTGTCATTGTGTAGCAGTAGCAGTAGTAGTAGTAGTAGTAGGTAGATCTTAGCCACTAGAAGCGCTCGTCATGTAACTGTAAGATATTTGAATATTAGATTATTGTTATTATTATCATTATCAATGATTTTTTGTGCTCGCTATCGTAGGTGGCCATATTGTACTGTGTTATAGCAGTGCGTCTGGCGATATGTTCTGTCGCTCTGTGTATTTGTAAATTAAACGCGTGTACGTACGTTATACGAGTAACGTGCTTGGTGGCTCTCTGCATTTTCTGTTCGTTGCATTTGTCAAGAAAAATGTGAGACAAAGGGTTGACAGAAGTAACGCACGCACGCACGCACGCACACACGCGGNCCTATATTTTACTATTTACATAGTATTCTAGAACATTCCATCCTATATTTTACTATTTACATAGTATTCTAGAACATTCTATCCTATATTTTACTATTTACATAGTATTCTAGAACATTCTATCCTATATTTTACTATTTACATAGTATTCTATAACATTCTATCCTATATTTTACTATTTACATAGTATTCTAGAATATTCTATCCTATAACATCAGGAGTGTTATTATGTCTATATATAGTAACTATATTATGTTTATATCATACACTCCTGCTAACATTCTATCCTAGAACATTTGATCCTAGAACAATCTATCCTAGAACATTCTCATCTTATAACATTCTATCCTATTGCATTCTATCCTATAACATTCTATCCTATTGCATTCTATCCTATTACATTCTATCCTATTACATCCTTGTATGTTATCTATTTACGCCTATATACGATCCATCTATCGGAGAGATGGACGAAAATTTCGTCTGTGTAAGTTATTTTTAACTTAATTTGGATCTAACTGATATCAACTTTATTAGCACGTGAACTATAGAGATCCGATGAAATGATTCAATCATATATTTACGTCTAGTGAACGCATATCTCTCTATATCTCCCACCGTCGTGTGTACTCTGCTATTACTCGATGATAGCTCGTCTGGTGTCTACTGGCGTAGCCAGGAATTTCGATTGGGGGGGGGTTCCTCGAGCGAGTAACAAGGGGGTCTGGTGGTCTGAAATTTTTTTTTTAGTTAAATGTAAAAATAGGGCTTTAAAATCATCTCCGCGCTTTTAAGAGAAAAAGAAAATAGAGAGAAAAATTTATTTTTATTTTTATTTTGATTGGAGGGGGTCCTAGGGCCCCCAGGAAATGGATACGCGCTTGCTGGTGTCCCACTACCAAGAGCACCCCAGTCATCGTCACTACGGACAGGTTGTGAATCCGCTGCTGTCACCGCTGCAGCAGCATCTGCATCCCGTGCTCGCAGCCTCCCTGCGATGGAAGCCCTCGCTCTCTCGTCACGCAGCAGCGGCAAAGCTTTCCTGCTGACGGAGACGATGCTTCGGCGCTCAGCCACCGATTACTGAAGCTGTGTTGCTCTCGGAACACCAGTACAGCCTCCAGCACGGCTGAAGCCATCATCCTAGTGAAGCCCTGCACAGATGAAACCCCGGGAGTCTGTGCGTTACTGTAGGATAAGGGATGCTGGCCAGGCCATATTTTTGGCGCGCGCGCCGGCGTGCGTGTGTGCGTGCGCGCGCGCGTGCGTGCGTGCGTGCGTACGTGCATGCGCGCGTACGTACGTGCGTGCGTGCGTACGTGCGTGCGTACGTACGTGCGTACGTGCGTGCGTACGTACGTACGTGCGTACGTGCGTACGTGCGTGCGTGCGTGTGTGCGTACGAGCGTGCGTACGTGCGTGTGTGCGTGCGTGTGTGCGTACGTGCGTGCGTGCGTGACGTGGAATGCATGCACGGCTGGTGTAATATTGACCATATAACCAGTACGTGACATCTCTCACGAACGGAGAGTGACATGCCGGAACATCTGATGGACGAACTTCAGTTACTGCCTCATGCAAGCCGCAGCCGCAGCACTCACATATTTATGCTCGCATAATTTATTAATAATTAATTATATGCATTGCCAGCGAGAGAGGTGTAGAGGGAGACAGGGAAGGTTTATGGAGAGACGAACGGGAGTAAGGAGATATAGTAATACTACATTGATATGGGTTAAGAAAGTGTGCACAATCCTCGGGGAGGGTACCTTCTCTGTACAGCTTCCCCTAGCAGCTAGTACCTTCTCTGCGTAGCTTCCCCTAGCACCTGGTACATTCTCTGCGTAGCTTCCTATAACAACTAGTACCTTCTCTGCGTAGCTTCCCCTAGCACCTGGTACATTCTCTGCGTAGCTTCCTATAACAACTAGTACCTTCTCTGCGTAGCTTCCCCTAGCACCTGGTACATTCTCTGCGTAGCTTCCTATAACAACTAGTACCTTCTCTGCGTAGCTTCCC